CCAGGGCGCACTGAGACAGCAATTGAGACTGGGCGTGGTGGCACGCGCCTGTAATCCCAGCTCTTGGGAGGCTGTAAACAGGCGGATCACTACAAGTCAGATCTAGCAGTGAGCCCCTGAACACTCTGTAGACCCTTCCCTAAAAATATAAAAAACAAAAAGAAAATAAAAGAGAAAAAAAAAGCACAAAATAATTTTGGAAATAGACATTTTCAGACTGCAATGGCTTCTTTAAAAACATGCATGCAAGCAGGCGGGACAGGGTAATATTATAAAAGATAAAAACATAAGCTTTTTGTTTCTAGTGTGTGAGGCGAACGTGATAGCCACTACACTACGGGAACAGCCTGGTTTCTAGTGAGGATTGAAAAGACTACAGTAGGGGCTAGGAAGATAGCTCAGCGGTTTAAGTGCCTGCCTGGAAGTGCCAGGACACACGTGTTTGATCTACAGTACCACATGCCATGCCACCCCCAAAACCAGGCAGGATGACGCATGCCTATAATCCCAGCACTGTGAAGGCTGAGACAGGAGAATTACTACGCGTGGTACTGCGCCTCAAACTCAGGACCTTACATTTGCCAGGCAGGTACTTAAACTGCTGAGCTATCTCCCTGGCCCGTAGTAAACAAGCTTTAACATTCCTGAAAATGAGGTAATGCAGTTACTGTGCAAACCTAAAAAGTGTATGATGGGCTGGTGAGATGGCTCAGTGGTCTAAAGCACCTACTTAGAACAAGCTTGGCAAAGCACAGGGACCGCGGTTCAATCCCTCAACACAGCATGCCAGCCCTCCCTGCCCCCTGGTGGGCTGAGCTGGCCACACACACATACAAACACACAAATAAAGAAAAGTGTATGACCTGAAAGCAAAGTTCAGGCAGGTACTGACAACCCTGGGGATCCTGCCCCGAAGTCAGGGCATCAGTTGGTCCTAAGCTCGCAATAAAAGCTTCTGGGCCAGGGAGATAGCTCAGTAGAATAAGTTCTTGCCTGGCAAGCACAAGGTCCTGAGTTCAATCCCTGGTACCACAAAAAAGACAAAAGAGCAATAAAAACCTCCTTGTTCCTTTGCATTTGGTCCCTTTTGTGGGGGTTGACCTTTGTTCACTGTCATCTGCTGCCACATGTGGAGGATCCTGAGCAAGACTGGCCCCCCAAGGGAGCCCCTCAGTAAGGGGCCCTGCATCTCCGATCCTTGTCTCCTGCTCCGGGTTGCAGGGCGCCCCAGGTGATTTCAGCTGGCCGCCTGCAAGTCCCTGTGTGGCTGCGAGGCTGGACAGCTAAGCCCTGCTCTCTGCCCTAGCTGAGATTTACAATTGGATTTCTGATCTGCTTTTGGTTCTATTGGAAATGTGATTTTTGTCCAGGCTGACAATTTGATGGGCCTGGGCTCTCAGATGGGGCAGCCATTTGGTATTGGTGTTGCCAAGAATTTGGTCAGAGTTTTGTTTCTGAATTTGGTCTGTGAGTTTGGTCAGTCCCAGTGCTAGAAGTAATATATAAATATAAAATATAAATATTTTATATATATATATATATATATTTATTTTTTTAGGTAAGGGTCTACAGGGTGTTTAGGGTCTCACTGCTAGATCAGACTTGTAGTGATCCGCCTGTTTACAGCCTCCCAAGAGCTGGGATTACAGGCACACTACCATGCCCAGTTTCAATTGCTGTCTCAGCACGCCCTGGGGGGCGGGGCCAGCACAGCAGGCCCAGGGATTGAACCCTGGCCCTTGAACCTTAAAAGCATCCTAAATTGGTGGTTAGAGACAGTTAACAACTGCCAGAGTTAGTCTGTCTGTTTTGTGTTTTCCCAAATCCACCTGCATCTTCTGACTAAGCCTGAATCTGCTCTCTGGGTTGGTGACTGCTGGCGGTCCTGCTCCTGCCTTTCCTGCCCCTCTGCATCACCCCATGGAAGCTCAGAAGGATCCAGACCCGGCTGGGCTGCTGCGGATCCCAGGACTACAGCTAGCATTTCACACTTTGTTAGCTTTGGTTTCTTGCTTGTGGTGTGGGTTGACAGTGCGAACTTGCTCGCTAGGTGCCTGCTGTGGGCACAGCTACAGTAAGCCGGCCCACGCTGGGATGCACAGCGGGAACATCCTCAAGTAGCCGGCAGTGTGCGGGAGATCATGCCTGGGAAACCACGGCATGCAGACCGCTTCGCCTAGGTGGATTCCTGGCTGTGTGCAATTCAGATGATGCATCAGTGGCTCAGGAGGCGTGCTTGTGGCTTTCCAGACTGAGTTTTAGTAAACCCTGTTTTGCCCTCTGCTCCCTCCTGAGGACGACTATCTTGCCTCTGGCCGCCCGGGAACCTCCCCACCATGTCCTGCTATTCCTGCAGCGCCTGCTGCCCACTGCCCTCCTCACACAGGTAGGTGACGCCCTCTGGGCTACAACCAAGGAAAGTGATACAGGGAAGGAGGCCCCTGGCCTACAAGAAGCCCAAGATGACTTCCTGTTCTCTCAAACGGAAGAATGAATTTTGTTAACAAGAGAGGTTGAGAGCAGAGTGGGTTGTTGCGGGAAGGAAAGCTGCTGTCTGGGGAGAGAAAGGTGACCCGAATGGGTTGCCAAGGAACTTGTCTTTTCTAGGGATTTTTATAAGCAAAACTACTTGGGGAGGCGGGTCCAAGGTGGAAAACATGGGAACTCACTAGGTGGGCATGCAGGGGGACAAAACTATGGTCAGCCAATAAGATTACAAGCACCATTGCTCAGGTAAAACTCATTAAATTGGGATCAAATGGGGAAGCAAGTCATGTAGCAAGCAGGCATGAATACAGAACAGGGGTTTATTCTGTAGGGGGTTAGTGACTCCTGGCTTTGTCAAGGTGATTGATATCTATTGAGATTATCAATCCATGGTGTTTAACCTTAGGGTGGTATGTGGCTGCATTGGTTTAATCTTTGGTCTTGAGGTCTGGCCCATAGCGTGAGTGCCTGTCTCTCCCACAGTCGCAAGGTATCTTGTCTTCCATAGCGTGTCCTTTGAGAGCCCAGCCCTGACTGCCTGTAATATTTCTATGTAAGTCAGCTGCCTACAACAATATGGCAATATGCTGCTCGGTGGGCTCCAGATATCTACCACAAGCTGCAGAAGTTAGTAGGCTTTGCAGGAATGAATTTCTCTCAGTTGATAGAAATTACTCAGAAAGTTTCCTAATACAGAGGATGCACCATGGAAATACAGACAGGAAAAGAGAAAGTGATGCTGGCAGCTCATAGGAAGGAGGCGGGTCCGGATCCAGGGAGAGGGAAGAGAGAGGCCAGCAGGGAGGACGACCTCACGCTTCCCTGGATCCAGCCCAGTGTGCCTGCTGCAAGAAGGGACATTTTAAGAAGGTCCAAGGCTCCTAGAGAGGAAAAAAAGGACATGTTTGTGATGGAATCAGAGAAAGCTTTAGATTGACGAGGTCATGGGGCATGAGCTCTCCGCCACAGGGAACCCATGTTAACTGTCAATGTAGTGGAGAAAGCCTGGTGGGCTTCTGAGAGATGCCAGCGCAGATTTGTCACCACATCAAACGAGAGCATAAGTGTTTCTCAGTCTTCAGCAAAAGACAGTCGTGTGCCTGCAGTAATGGGGGAGTTTGTGTGACATGTGAGGCTGGTTCGATTGAGACAATACCCGACGGCCATGAGGCCAGAGAAGGGGTTAAATTCCACAGTGAAAGGCTGCTGGAGGCAGGTATACGGAGGGAATGCCAGCCCCCCTCTCCCCCCAGAATATGCCCTTCTTGCTAGTCCGCAACCCCAGGACAAGTGAAGATTGTCCTGT